GAACTCACTGTGCAGCGCAGCCTAAATTGACGCTGGGATGACGCTTGTGCACCCCTTGCCTGGTTGGCATCTTATTACTATGCAGTCTGCTCACCTGTGGGAGAAATTCTCGATTTGAAGCCCTGTTTTAGCTGGGGCCGAGGAGAGCATGGGTGCTCACATCTGCCTCTTCCCCTTGCAGAGTTCAGAAGCCGCCAGGCCTTGGCGAGTGCGGGCTCTGGTCCCATCCTCCCGCCGCTGGAGGGCTCAGGACCTCTGGCTGTCTTTTCCAGCGAGCCCGGTGCTCCTGGGTCGAACCCTGGCATCCCAACAGGCGCTCAGCAGGCAGGTGAGGCGACGGAGCAGAAGCTGGGTAGAAAGGGGCTGTGCAGACTGGTTCACTGTGAGGCCTGACAGGCTACAGAACAGACAAAGGCAGCCAGGCATTGTGGTGCATGCCTGTAACCCAGCACTTGGAAGGCTGAGGCAGGAGGATTGCTGTGAGTTCCAGGCCAACCTGGGCTCCCTTGTGAGACCCTGTCTGAAAAGAAAACAATAAGAAAAGGAAGCAAAGGGCAGGTCTTGCTTTGTGTTCAGATTAGCCTGAACTCACTTCATACACCAGTGTGTATGTGCTGCACGAACAGGAGTGTGTGTATACGTGTTTGTGAATGCACACATGTGTGAGCAGAGGTGTGTGTGAATATGCATGTGAACATGTGTTCTGTGTATGCATGAGCAGATGTTCAGATGTATACACACATGCTCGTGCACAACCAGGTTGTGTTCATGTGTGTGCAGGAGTAGGAGTGTACATGTGTTTGTGTGTGGAGGAGTGTGTGCACATGTGCAGAAGCGTGTCTGTGTGCATGCATGTGTATCCTATGCATGCATGAGAAGGCACGTGTACATGTGTGCTTGGGCGTGTGCATGTGTGTATAAGGAAGAATCATGTGTATGTGCACAGTTGTGTGTAGCTTGTGTGTGCGTGCATGTGCACCCCTGTGTGTTGTTTTTGGGGTGCAGTGCCCATGTCTGGAGCTCTGGCCCAAAGGGATTTGGGGTCAGCTGGGTGGTAGAGACAGAGAGCTTTGCCCACAGCCTGCTGTCGCCCAGTGCTCGGCTCCTCTCTCCTGCAGGATCAGCGCCGTTCTCCGAGCAGCCTCTGCCAGCAGCGGCCCCAGGTACAGTGGTCTTCCATGGCAGGGACTCCCCCAGGCACCAGCAGCTGGCACGGAGCAGCTTGGCCGTGCTGGCACGGCCCTCAGCCTTAGGTAATGTGTGTGGCCTGGGTGCCTGGGTCCCTGGGAGGGGCCCAGAGCTTCCTGGGGTTCAGGGCTTGGGTGGGCACCAGGGGAGGTTGGTGGCACTGGGGCCCAGGGCTGCTGAGTCCCATGTGGGAAGCGCCACCTGTGCCAAGGAGCAGTGATAACCTGGGTGACAGTGAGTGACATGTGTCTCTTGGGCCAGTGTCAGGAATTCTGGGGACACTGAGGAAGAGTGTGAAGTGCTGAGGAGATGCAGTATAGGGGGCAGAGAGGGAATTGGGAGGATCAGGGTTAGGCGTGGCACTGCCTGTGCCTGAGAGCCCAGCACTGTGGCAGGCTGAGGCAGGCCGATCTTGAATTGGAGCTGAGTCTGGGCAACCTAGCAAGTCCTTGTCTTAAAATGAAAGATGGGAGCTGGGGAGATGGCTCAGTGGAATAAGCGCTTCCCTGGCAAGCGCAAGGACCTGAGTTCAATCTCCGGGTCTGAAAAAAAAGAAAGATAAAGAAAGGGCCAAGGATGGAGCTCTGTAGGCCAAGTAGGGCTGACCCCGGCACCATCTCTATCATGCCTGCTGCCTTCTTCAGCCTCTGGCCTCCATCTGGGTGGAAGAATTGAATTGAGGCCCCGGGACTGGGCTCAGAGTGGCTGCGTGGCCAGGGACTGGGCCTCTGGTTATGGGAACCAGGTTTTGTGTCCATGGCTCCCTCCCTGAGCTGGACAGGGGATCTCCTGGTTCGAAGCCCACACAGCAGAGCTCCTGGGGCCTTGGAAGTCCCTTTTACATGTTTTTATTTTGAGACAGGGTCTAAGTTACCCAGCCTGACTGGCCTGGACCTTGGCAGTCCCCCTGCCTCAACCCTCTGTAGGTGCTGGGATCAGGGTGTGCACACCTAGCCAGTGCGCTTTTAGCTTTTTGTTTTTGTACCATTTTAGTCTGAAGAAGAGAGAGAGGTCATCTGGGGCTCCTCCAGGGCACTCTAAGCTGCTGCGTGACTTGGGGTGCCCGGCCACTGGTGAAGGCGTGTGCACTCATGTCCCTTCTGATCCTGAGGGACAGCAGCCACTGGCTCTGCCCTGTGGACTATGTGGCTATCGCTGTGATCCCCACTTGCAGGCATGGGCTCAGCCAGACTGCGGGTTCAAGCTCCTAGTGTGGGTTTGTGGCCTCCACACGGGCTGTGGCTTGGGACCAGCCTGCTCAGAGGAGAGTCCAAAGAGTTTTGGGGATCAGTTCGTTATATTTGGGGTCCCCCGCGAATGCAACCTGAGTCCTGGAATTGCTGTTGTGCGGTGACCACCGCCCGGCCAGTTTCGGTTGCTCCAAATCAAAACTGAGCTGTCCAGCGGGCCCAGGGAGTAGGACGGAGCAGCAGCGCCCCCAGTGGCATAGTCGGGTCACGAACTCTCACAGTAGTTTTCAGTTAATTTACTAATTTATTTATTTGGGTCGGGTGGGGTACAGTGGTGTGGGGTGGAGGTGGGGTGGGGGGTGAGAATGGGGGTGGGGCTTGAACCCAAGGCCTTTGCGTGGGGATTGAATCCTTAGCCCTTTTGGTTAATTTTTAATTTTAAGAGATAAGTCATTAAGTTGTCCAGGCTGGACTCCCAACTTGTGGTCTTTCTGCCTCAGTTTTCCACATGAAGAGGCTGAGGCAGGAGAATCATTAATCTCAAGGCCAGCTAGCTTGGGCAACTTAGAGTTTGCCTCAAAATGTAAAAATTATACAGGTGTGTGCTATAAAATCCATTGTAAGCTGTGCTCTAAAAAAATGCCAAGTAAGTGTTCTCCAAACTAAGGGGAAATTTACTGAAGCTCATTACTAGTGGCAGCTTAATCCATGCTCTGAATGTTTCCAGGGATCTTGTCAAACTCTGGCCCCCCCAAAAAACGCCACAGAGGGTGGTCTCCAGAGTCCCCATGGGCTGCAGATGCCAGCTATGCTCAGGGTGGCATGAACAGAGCTAAGTTTGGTGAGTGATTGCAACAAGATCCAGAACCCACAGGGGGCTCGGTACTGGCAATATGTGTGCGGGTGTGGGCCAGGGAGGTGCAGGCGACAGACCAGGCAGGGTGCAGTCTGTCCTCCGTCAGGCCCTGCGGATGCTGCAGGGTGTGTGTGGGGGCGCTGCCTGGTCCTAGAGGTAGCGGAGCAGTACCGCTGTCACCCCTGGGCAAGGTCTGTAGTGGCACTGCCCTGGCTGTGTCATCCTGAACAGAGCAAAAGGCCTCCCAGGTGGTTTTGACTTGGGAAGAGCAGGAAGTCACAAAGTGCCAGATCCAGTGACTAAGGTGGATGAAGACGCGGCGTTGTGCTTTTGCAAGCCTGACTTGCCGTTGGGTGGCGCTCGGCAGCAGTGTTCACTGTGGTTTAGATCACAGTTAGTAAAAACCCTCAGGAAAGAGGACTCCCGGGCTGCTGCAGAAAGTGGCAAGGACGATGGGATGAGCATGCTCAGAGCTAGGGAGGTCGTGACCGTGTGTCTTCTGCTGTAATGAACTCTTCCATGTAGGCGTGCGTCTGTTTTCCTGCACATTCCCTGCACAGCTTGCTAACGTTCCTTCCTGTCATGCTCCCAGAAGGTGCAGGGGTGGCATGTGTGCCACAGGCCAGCATGGTGGGACCGGCTGCAGTCACTTTTCCTGTCGTGGCCTCTGGAGAACCCGTGTCTGTTCCTGACAATTTGCTGAAGATATGCAAGGCCAAGCCGGTGATATTTAAAGGTAAGTTTGCAAGGGCTCCCCCACCACCCTCGGTGGCAGGAGGGCTGGGCAAGGAACTGGCCACACCGGGACTGCGTCCCCCGCCTAGTGGCCTCCCGAGCCAGTCCAAAGCCCTGCAGGTGATGAGATTCTGGAGCTTGCCAGGTCCCCACATGGCAGGGCTCTTTTGGTGATGCTCGCTCGGGCCTATTTCCACTTTTGTTCACTCCTCGTGAACACCTAGCACTGAGACATCACTGTCACACAAAGCCCTGAGTAGTCTGTGACCAGGCAGTGTGACTGCTCGCCTGTCGACTCATTCTGGGTGCCAACTAATGGGTGCTGGTGCAGGAAAAGTGTTAGCTCAGTGACAGAAATCCCTTCCCAGTGAATCAAGGACCTTGGGACAGAAGATTCAGAGGGACTGTGCTGGGCTGGCAGGCCCAGTGTGGGATGTAGCACTCATTCCTGCATATCTGGGTCCTTCCCTGGCTCCTAGGGTTATGGTGCTTATAGCATTAGTGGAGGCAGCCTGGTAGGCAGCAGGAGAGACTGCTGGATGTTTATGAAGAAAGGATACTTTTTTCCCCCTAAAAATAAATCCCAGGAGCTGGGGAGATGGCTCGGTGGAATAAGTGCTTCCCTGGCAAGTGCAAGGGCCTGAGTTCAATCCTTGGTTCCATAAAAAAATAATAATAATAATAAAATAAAATAAAAAATCCCAAAGCCAAACAAACCCAAAAAAAGCCAATATGGTGGCTGGGCACGTGGGATTTCATGTTCTGTATCTTCCCAGGTGACCACTGCCAGTCCCAGCCCCACAGGGCCAAGAGGGCAGAGGCCCAGGGTGGCACCTGCGCCCCTCTGCATAGTGTTAGCATCCCCGGCTCCTAACCTGGCTGCAGACACTTGACACTGCTTCGAGAAGTCCTTTTCGTCTCCCTTTTGTGTGGCTTTCGTCTCAGGGCGTTTAAGAAAACTGTCTTTTTTTTTTTTTTACGGAACCAGGGATTGAACTCAGACCCTTGCGCTTGCTAGGGTTGTTTGTTTTTTTGAGACTAGGTCTTGGTACCTAGTTCCAATTGGCCTTGAACTCATTACATAGCCCAGGCTGGCCTCAAACTCATGGAGAGCCTCCTGCCTCGGCTTTCCCAGTGCTGGAATGACAGGTATGCATCTTACTGCTTGTAAATCATGTTCCTAGGCAGTGCCACCCCTGTGGTCCCCGCTGCTGCACCCTGAGCCCCTGAGTTTGGCAGAGCTGTGATAAACTCACAGGCCAAGTCAGGCACTCTCTGGTCCAGGATACCTGGGGGCCTGGGCGAGTCTCCTGGGGTCCCTTGTGAGTTTCAGCTCCTCAAGATGTACGTAACCAGTGTCCCAGGAGCCAAATTGCCTGGAGCAGGCATAGCACCTGCCTGTTGTACTCAGAGAGGTCAGGCGCATATCATTTTGATGACAGATAGAGGTGCTTCTGGTTCCTGAGTCTCTTGTGGTGGTGGGGGTCATGGGGAGTCCATCCTGTCCCTCATGGGGACATAGTCCCCAGCCATCCCCAAGCCACCTGCCAGCAGCACTGCTTCTTCCTCTGCAGGCCACGGGAACTTCCCCTACCTGTGCGGGAACTTGAACGACGTGGTGGTCAGCCCGCTGCTGTACACCTGCTACCAGAACTCCCAGTCCATCTCCCGGGCCTACGAGCAGTTCGGCTCCTCAGCTGTGCAGCCTATTTCCGAGGAGATGCAGCTCCTGCTCACTGTTTATTACCTTGTCCAGCTGGGTGAGTCCCTGTTGGCCGTCAGGTCAGCTGCTGAGTCCTCACTGGCCATGAGGTCCAGCTGGTGAGCCCCTATTGGCCACTCCTCCCAGGGCTGATCACAGACCCCTCCATGAGGGCCAACTTGGGCAGTAGGGGCTGAAATCCCAGGGCACAATGGCAGCCCCTGCTGGCAGCAGTGATCACTGCGGAGGGGAAGGAAGGTTGGAATGGTAGAGAAAGCTTCTAAGCCAGGCACCCATCATCCGGGCACAGGGCGTACGGTGGGAGGTAGAAGCATGGAGCCTTTGGGGACAGCTCAGGCAGGAGGCGGCATGGCTTACTGGGAACAGCAGTGTCTGGTTGGGGACTGCAGGCCCTTGTGCCACCCGGCCCCAAGTTGGATGTGCAGGAGGCCGCAGAGCAGCTGCTGCAGTTGTCTCAGGTGGGGCTGGTGTGAGGCGAGGCCGCAGGGCTGCTGCTGTGGTTCCGCAGGCAGGGAAGATGGTGGTCGCCTCCTCAGATCCTGGCTCCCTGGCCCCCAACTTTCCATGGTCCCTGAAGCTGATGATGTTGTTTCATCAGGAAAGGGGTGCCCTGGCCCGTCGTTGAGCTTGGGCACTTCTCTGTGCTCAACTCCTACCCATAAAGGCATTGTTGGAATTTTTTATTCAGGTAAAGCCAAGGTTCTGTCTTGGGAGCCTCAAGCTTGGGGGGCCCTTGGAAGACCCTGTGCCTTCTGGGCAGGCAGGTCCTTTTAGTTTGTTTTTTAAAAAAGAGGATCTCACTGTGTAGTTCGAGCTGGCCTTGAGCTTGCTATGTAGCCCAGGCTGACCTCCAACTTGCAGCAGTCCTGCCTCAGCCTGCCCCGTGAGTGCTGGGATAAAGGTGTGTGCCACCACACCCGGCTGGACTCCTTTCCAGCTCCCTATCCCAGGGTATGTGTGGCTCTGATGGGTCATCGTCTGCTCAGCCGGACCCAGCCTCTCCTGTCTCTGTCACCCACCCCACTCTGGGGCTGCCTCTCCTGGCCCTGTTCCCCATGTCCATCCAGAGAACTGTGCTTTCCCTCCCTGGAGATGCTGACCTTTCTGTCACGTGCTCAGGTCATCCTGTTCCCAGTCCCCATGATGGTCCTGCCCCTGTCCTGCACTGGTCCCTGCCTCAGCGTCTCCCCTTGCTGGGTGGAGGCCTCCCAGCCAGGTGTCACACCTGGTCCCCAGTACACCCCATAGTGAACTCTGGTCGTCCCTGCTCATGAACTGTACAAGGAGACAAAGAGGTGACAGGCAAGCTGGAGGGTTCCCAGGACCGTGGTGTCAGCGTGGCTGGCATGGAGACCTGGTGGAGTGGAATGTGGGTGTGGCCACAGGGAACCCCGGGCACCTGGATGGGGACACTCAAGGGGGCGAGGGGTTGGAGAGTAGACAGGCAGATGAATGCTAACTTCATCTGGGGAGCACAGTGGGGGAGAGGTGGTGGCAGAGGAGTTTTGAAGTGAGGAGGACATCAGCTGATCTAACCACAGGCTGTTTGGATCTGCTGATTCTCATGGGATCTATCTATTAAAACTGGAAGTGGAGCCAGGGAGATGGCTCAGTAGAATAAGTGCTTACCTGGCAAGTGCAAGGGCCTGAGTTCAATCCCCAGTTTGCCAAAAACAAAACAAAACACGAAGCTGGCTGTGGTTTTGCATACCTGTGATACCAGCACTCTGGGAGGCTGAGGCAGGAGGATCACAGGTTCAAGGTTCAAGCCCAGCCTGGGCAAATTATGGATATAGTGAGACCCTCTGAGAAAAAAAAAAAAAAAAAAGTCTGAGGGCTGGTGAGATGGCTCGGTGGTCTAAAGCACCTACTTAGAACAAGCTAAGCTAAGCACACGGGGACCCCGGTTCAATCCCCCAGCACCACATGCCAGCCAGCCCCACCCCCTGGTGGGCTGAGCTGGCCACACACACAAAAATAAATAAATAAATTTAAAAAAAAAAAAAAAGTCTGAGGATGTAACTCAGAGTAGAGGTCCCAGGTTTGACTTCTGTAAACAAAGAAAGAAAGAAAGAAAGAACAATAAAAGCAAGCTCATCTGGTAGTGGCTGTAGGAATTCACTTTTAGGAATTTCAGCATTTCGAACCTGCATGTGGGGAGAGAAGAGAGACTGGTGTCATCCTAGCACTCAGGAGGCTGAGGCAGGAGGGTCTCTGCAGTCAGGGCTACATCATGAGTTTAAGATTAGCCTGGGACACATAGTGAGATCCTGTCTCAAAGCACCAAAGCTGAGGTTCCGCCGGCATCTGCACTGACCGCCTTGTGCCCTGTTTTCCAGCTGCTGACCAGGTGCCATTGATGGAGGAGCTGGAGCAGATCTTCCTGCGCTCCTGGCGAGAGTCGCACCTTGCCGAGGTCCGGCAGTGCCCACAGGTGCAACCGCAGCCTTACCCGCCCACACCTGGCCCTGTGGCACCTGTGACCTCGGCGCAGCTGCCCTGGCTGGCTGGCCTGGCCGCCAGCTCCTGCAATGACAGCGTGCATGTCATCGAGTGTGCCTACTCACTGGCTGAGGGCCTGGCCGAGATGTTTCGCCTGCTCGTTGAGGGCAAGCTGGCCAAGACCAATTATGTGGTGATCATCCGTGCCTGCCGCAACACTGCCATTGACTCCTGCATTGCCGTCACTGGTGAGCTGGCCTCTCCGTGCCGTGCCCTTCCTGGTGTGTGTGGGAAGCCCAAGGTCCGTGCAGTGCACTGAAGCTGGCTGCAGCAGGCAGCTTTGTTGGGCATGGTGGTGACACATGCCTGTCTTCCCAGCCATCAAGTTCAAGTTCAGCTAGGGCAACTTGACCTTATCTCTCAAAATTAAAAAATAGGGGTGAGGGTCATTCTCAGCTTCCTCACTGGTAGAAAAGAGATAAGGAACAATAAACTTACTGTGTTGAGGGCTCAGTAATTTTATACCAGCCAGCTTACTATTGGAGGTATAAAGTTGCTGAGTTAGCCAAGTACTCAGGAGGCTGGGGCAGAATTGCCATGAGTTCAAAGCTAGCCTGGGCTACATAGTGAGACCTTGTCTCAGACACAACACACAACAACACAACAAAAAGTGCTCATTTAAAACCTACTGTGTGGGGGCCGGGGAGCTGGCTCAGTGGGATAAGCGCTTCCCTGGCAAGCGCAAGAGCCTGAGTTCAATCCTCGGTTCTGCCAAAAAATAAAAATAAAAATAAAACCCACTGTGTGGGCTACGGAGATAGCTTGGCAGTGTAAGTGTCTGACTGGCAAGTGCAAGGACCCAGGTTCAATCCCTGATACTGCATGCCATGCTGGCCACCAAAACTGGGTGTGGTGGCACATGCCTGTAATCCCAGCACTGGGGAGGTTGAGACAGGAGGCTCACCAAGAGTCTGAGCTGCATAGTGAGACCCTGTACTAAATAAATAAATAAATACAATATTTTTCAAAAATTAAAAAAAAACCAACAACCCTACTGTGTGTGACCATGCCTTGAGGCTTGGGACAAGAGCACTTTCCTGGAGTGATTGTCCTGGTTGGAAGGCAGACACCAAGCTCACTGTGTGTTCGGGGCCACTGAGGTGTTCACACGTCGTGTACTTTGAACACCACGTTTTTTTGCTCCCCTCGTGTCTTGCAGTATTGGGGATTGAACTCAGGACCTTTCCACAGAGCTACATTCCCAGCACTTTTATTTTTAATTTTGAAATAATTTCCAGCTAAGTGATTACATCGCCTAGGCTGTCTGCTTCTGTCCTCCTGCCTCAGCCTCCCGTGTGCTGGGTGACAGGCGTATGCCGCCATGCCAAGCAATCTTAGCCTTGTTAGCCCTTCAAGTTTCGTAACTTGGACCCAGGCGGTGCATGCTGCCACTTCCTTCAACCAACAGGAGCACCGGCTCTCAGTCATCTGTGGTGCTGGCCCTGGGGCTGGGTAGAGGTCCGGAGACCTGACCCCGCACCGGAGTGCACATGCCTGTGACCCTGACTCTCCGGGAGGCTGAGGCAGGAGGTTTGCAAGTTCAAGCTCAGCCGGACAATTTAACGAATCCCTGTCTCAAAAATTTTGAAAAAGACCAAGGATGTAGCTCTGAGCAGAGACTCTGGGTTCAAGCCCTGCTGTTGAAACAAGTAAAGCAGCCGGGTGAGAGCTGCCCCCTGTCCCAGGGAAGTACCAGGCCCGCATCCTGTCCGAGAGCCTGCTCAGCCCTGCCGAGTACCAGCGGGAGGTGCACTGCGAGCTGGCGAGCGGCAAGGTGGACTCGCTGGGGGCCTTTTTCAGCACCCTCTGTCCAGGTAGGCAGCCGGATGCGCACATGGCGCAGGTGCTACCCGGGGAGGGGGCACCTGCGTCCCACACTGCTGCCCCACCTGCCCTGGGGACCCTGCCCCAGCCTGGCTCTCCCGGCCTCTCCAGGCCTGGTCCTCACTGCTGCTTTCGAGGGCCTCTTTCTCCCTCTTGCCTTTTCCCAAGCACCAGCACAGCACTGGATGAAGGCGCTGCTCCAGAGAGGCTCCTGGGTTCCACAGCACAGAAAACCCATTTCCGCTTGTTCTTTGTTCTGGGCAGAGGGTGACATTGACATCTTGCTGGACAAATTTCACCAGGAAAATCAAGGCCATTCTTCATCTTTGCTGACTTCCACATTTGTCACTAACACAGTGGGCCTGGAGGTCGGCGGGACCCCTGTGTGCACGAGTGAGTGGCAGGGAGGGTGGACAGGTGTGTGAGGCCAGCCTGGGACTTGGCCCAAAGGCCCGGTTCGCAAGCAGGGAGGTCCCTGGGGGCAGCATCTCCCTCCCTTGCGCCGCAGTCCTGGTTGTTGCCACAGGGAGCCGCGTCCCAGCCCCAATGTGCCCTGCATCCTGGCCCAGCACAGGTGACTTGGGATCTGCACTTGAGATTTGCCATTCCTGTGACCCGACACGGGGACTGCTGCTCTTCCCTCTGGGAACTTGCTGTCCCCAGGTGCTATTCATTGCTTCCTGAAGACAGGGAGCCTGAGCTTCTGTCATGTGTGCACCTGCTTCACCCTCATGACCAGTGAAGAGCTGTGGTTGCCTGGCGCTGGCCCCAGGCCAGATGTGGATGTGAGCTGGCCCCACAGTGTGCCTTGCCGTACCCTGGCTCATGCAGGTCCCCCGGCTGCAGGTGACTGCCCGGAGCCACGTGGCGTCCGGCCTGCCCAGCTGGCGGTGGCGCAGAAGCTGCTGTCACATGTGTGCTCCATCGCGGACTCCAGCACTCGGAACCTGGACCTGGGCTCCTTCGAGAAGGTGGACTTCCTGGTCTGTGTCCCGCCCTCCGAGGTCACCTTCCAGCAGACCGTGGCCCACGTATGGCGCTCAGGTACCGGGCATTCGGGGACAGGGCCCACAAAAGCCTCGGAGCCCTGAAACCCAAGGCGAGTTGTGCGCGGCCTTCTTGACAGTGGAGAGGATGGACCAAATGTCTCTGCTCTTATCTTACTAATTTATTTTGAGGTAGGGTCTCACTATATAGTTTGGGCTGGCCTTTGAATTCATGGCGATACTCCTGCCTCAGCCTCCTAAGGGCTGGGCTGACAGGTGTGCACCATACCTGTTTTTGCTCTTGTTTTATAGACCCTGAAGCTGGCTTCAAGACATGGATTTGCCCAAGGCTTTAGGGTCTGAGAAAGGGAACATAAGACCTAACCCTCATTGTGCTCCTCAGGCCAGGGCTGACTGTGTTGCCTGGCTTCTGTTTACCATCTTTTCAAGGAGGTTGCATTTAAACATGGAATACATAAGCAGCTGGTGTCTTCATGCTGAGAGTCACTCTCTTTGGGCCTTGTGGCACTCTGGGAGGCTGAGGCAGGAGGATCTCAATTTAGGCCCAACCTAGGCAGCTTAGCAAGACCTTGTGTCTAAATAAAAAAACACAAAGGGCTGGGGATGTAGCGAAGTGCAAAGGTCCTGGCTTCCGTCCGCATTCAGTCTCTTCAGCGTCACAACAGTCACCTGGTGGTGGCTTTGTACCATGGCAGGACCGTTCCCTTCCCTCTCACTGTGGAGCCTGCTTCTCCAGTCCCTGAGGTCACTGTGATGCCCATGCCAGGCCTGCCCAGCCACGGTGTGGGGCAGGCAGGATCTCTTTCCCCAAGGCCTGTTGTGCCAGCATGTGCCGCGGATGGGACAGGGTGGTGCTGGCCGCAGCAGCCACGTACTCTCTGGCAGGCGTGCTGCAGGAGCTGGGCTTGGAGCTGGAGCCTGCAGCCAGGCAGGGGCTGGAGCAGCACGTGCTGAAGCTGGATGCAGAGGCGCCCGCCAGCTTCACAGCGTTCCTGCAGCGTTCCCACCGGAGCCCACACACGCTCTTTGTGCTCATCCATGACCACGCACACTGGGACCTTGTGAGGTCAGACCCGGGCCCTGGCCTGGGTGGGGGCGTGGGGGCGGGGCCTTGCATGCTCTGCTGGTGGAGCTTGGTCAGCCCCCAACCAGCAGCACTTTCCCAAAGCGCAATTTTATTCAGTTAAAATGAATAGCAGTTGGGCAGCCAGTCGGGTAGCTCAGCGGACTAAAGTGTCTGCTTAGGCAGACACATCCAGTGTTCAATCCCTGGCACCACATGCTGTGCTGGCCCCATCCTGGGGCGTGGTGAGATGGAGAATGAGACTGGGTGTGGTGTTGCACCTGTAATCCCAGTACTTGGGAAGCTGAAAGCAGGAGGATCACTAGAGTCTGATCTGTGTAGTGAGACCCTGTAGACCCTGTCCTAATTACAGAAAAAAAAAATCATAAAGCAGTGTTAGTAATTGTGTTCATTCTTTCTTTTCTCCCACCTCAGTAGCGCCGTCCACAATCTCTGCTCCCAGGGTGACCCCTGCGTGGGGCTGGTGGACAGACTGCTCAACTGCAGGGAGGTGAAGGAAGCCCCCAACATCGTGACGCTGCATGTGACGTCCTTCCCGTATGCACTGCAGACTCAGCGCACACTCGTCAGCCCCTACAACGAGGTCCACTGGCCCATCCCCCACAGCGACGTGAGTGGCGTGGCTGCCTGCAGAGGGGCCTGAGACTGATCCGACTCTGAGGCGAGGGGGTGGAGCTTTGGTCTGGTCCAGGCTTAGATTTTGAAATCTTCTCCTAGCTCCAGCTGGCTTCCTCTGGACACGCAGTGAGGCTCTGAGCCAGGGCACTCTCTGCAGGGGCTAGATCTCCAAGTAGCACTTTGGGTGACCTCGTGGCTTTGGGGAGAGGGGTTCATGGCAGAGCCCTCGGGGGTCCTGGGGACTGGGGCTCCACACAGAAGGACTCTCCATGTGACCAGCAGGCTGGGCATGGTGGCACTTGCCTGTGATCCCTGCACTTGGGAGGCTGAGGCAGGAGGATTGCTTATTCAAGCCCAGCGGGGGCAACGTGTAGACTTAGGAGAGCCTGTTGCAAAGTAAAAATCACAAAAGGAGCTGGAGGCTGGGCCAGGGAGATAGCTCAGTAGAATAAGCACCTGCCTGGCAAGCACAAGGTCCTGAGTTCAATCCCTGGTACTGCAAAAACAAACAAACAAAAAAGGAGCTGGAGGTGGAGCTCAGGGCAGGGGCCATAGGTTCAATCCTCAGCACCACCAAAGAGTAGATGCAGCCCTGGGTGGCTGCAGGCCTGGCACTGCCCCTCCCCCTGCCCGGCCCCGTGCTGCCTTTGAACTCTGTGCTCTATGTCAGGGCGCAGGGCTGTATCCTGAGAGCAAGAAGTACTTCGGGCTGTCCGAGTTCATCGAGTCTACTCTCTCTGGACACAGCCTCCCTTTGCTCAGATATGACAGCTCCTTCGAGGGCATGGTCACTGCGCTGGGAAAAAGGTACCTGTCTCCCTGGAGTCCTGCTCTGTGGCAAACAGTGTGGGTGTGGTCCGCCTGATCCCAGGATGGGATGGGCTGCCTCATCCTCCCCAGCGCTCCCCAGATCTCCAATGATAGCTTTCTCACAGTGTTGCACCAAATATTTTTAGAAACAGAGTCTCCCCATGTAGCACAGGCTGGCCTCAAACTCACAGGAATCTTCTTGCCTCTGCCTCCTGAGTGCTGAGATCACAGGCATGTGTCTCCACATTTGACTCGAAACATTTTAAAAATGAGGAAGGTGTCTCAGTTACTTTTCACTCGTTGCTGAGACAGAATACCAGACACTCAAAATTAAGGAAAGAGGGCTGGGGAGATGGCTCAGTAGAACAAGCGCTTGCCTGGCAAGTGCAAGGGTCTGAGTTCAATCCCCAGTTCCAGGAAAAAACAAAACAAAACATACAGGTGATGTAGCAACAGGAAACTAAGATAGTGATGGGGCCGGGGAGATGGCTCAGTAGAATAAGCGTTTGCCTGGCAAGCCCAAGAGCCTGAGTTCAATACCTGGTTCTGCCAAAATAAACAAACAAACAAATAAAAGATTAAGGAAAGAAAGGTTTATTGAGCTCACAGTTTGTGGAGGTTTCAGTCTATCCTCCACTGGCTCCCAGGCAGAGTGGCACATGGCAGAGGGCAGCAGCTCATGGCAACAGAAACCAGCGAGAACAAAGGGAAGGGCAGGAGCTGCGGCTGCTAGCCTGCCTCTCCCAGCCCTTATGGTATAAGCAAGCTCCCCCAGGCTGGGGGTGTAGAACGCACCCAATGTTCATGCCCTCCTCTTGTACAGGATGAAGATGCTTACAAAGTAGGAATCCTGGCCCTCTGAGGAGTCACTTAATTAAACTTCTAGACTTCTCCAGTTGATACAATGTATCAAGCAGTACAGAAGGACAGACTTACACTTCTGGCCTGCGGATTTATGACTCTGAGGAGGGCAGGGAAATGAAGGTTAGCTGTAGAAAAGGTCAGAAACAAGGCCAGTAAGTGGCAGCTTTGGCCTTCATTTCCGATGCTCTTTGTCACCTACCTGAGCCAGTTGTTATCACCGTTCTCATTTTGCAAATGGAGAAACTGAGGCTCAGAGTCTCTAGCCGGTTCCAGAGCTGAGTGAGAACAGAGTCGATCTAACTTCACCTTCAGCTCCTCCCGCCCTCTCTTCTTTCCTTCCTTCCTTCCTCCCTTCCTTTCTTTTTTTGGTTTTTCAAGATAGACTCTCACTTTGTAGTTTAGGCTGACTTTGAACTCACTGTGTAGCCTACGCTGGCCTGAAACGTGCAGTGATCCTCCTGCCTCAGCCTCCTGAGTGCTGGGGTCACAGGGGCATGCCACCATACCTGTGAGTTTTTGTGATGTCTTTATTAGACTATGTTTGCAGTACCTAATGATCATGTCCATTGTAGGGAATTCGTGCGTGATGCACTGTAATTCTTTCTGCACCCCCCCACTGCCTCCCGCTCTTGGTTCTTGCCCTTTTCTAGAAGCTCTATCTCCAAGTTTCCTATGGTCCATCTTTTATTTTGCTCTTTAAACTTTGGGTTTCTCATGTAAGAGAAGCTATGTGAGGTCAAGCTTGAACATCTGATTCCACTTAACGTTGTGGTCTTGAGTTGTACCCATTTTCTTATACCTGACTCCTTTATCCTTGTTTATGGCAGAATAGTACTTCACTGAGTGTAAATACATTACCTTATCTGTCTGTATGCAGGTGGGTACATGGCCTACTCCTGGGATTTAGCTATCTCGAGTTGTGTGCTTTGAACTTGATGTGCGAGAACTCTGTTCTGAGAGCTCACTTTACAGATAAGGAGAGTGAAGGTTGAAGGCGGACTGCCTGCTCCAGGCTGCCCATCTCTGGATGGTGAAGCCCCAGAGCAAATCCTGTCGCCCTGCCTCCTGTTGGCCCCCTCTTGCCTTCCAGGCCATGCTGGGCAGCTTCTCTGTCTGGGCTCTGCTCTGCTTGCACACTGATAGTGGTAGTGCCCAGGGGGCTCCTACGATGAACCAAATCTGCGAAGTACAGTGGGAGGAGAAGCCCAGGGCATGGGAAGTATCCCTGTGGAAAATGGTCCTTTGGTCTGTGAGGGGGCCACTGCCTGCTAGCAGCTTGGCGTGGAAGCCCGAGCTTTACCCCTCTTCTCTTGCCGCCCGCTTCTGCTGGAGCCTGGTAGTGCTGAGCGTGTGGGCGCCGACTCAGCCTCTGAGCTCAGGACTTGATGGTCCTCTTCTGACTCTGCACAGGCTGGGCACAGTCACTTGCTGAGCCCCGCCCTGTCACTTATCTCCAGAACCACATTAAGCCGGAAGCCACACTGGCCAGGAGTCCACAGCCAGGCCCAGGTTGGCCAAGCCCGACACCCACCTTCGGGTCCTGCCCTCTGATCGAGGATGTTTGTGTTTTTTTTTTTTCAAATAGGGATTGAATTCAGAGGTTTTCCATGAAACAGGCTGCATCCCCAGCCTGTTAGGGGATGACTTGCAGTCTTCCTGCCTTAGCTTCCCAGAGCTGGGTTGGCAGGCCTATACCACCAAGCCCAGCTTGTTCAAGTTTCTTTTACCATGAGCAAATTTTCTCACCTGCCTAGACCTTGCACCCTAACCTATAGATTGGGGTCTCTGAGCATAAAGCTAATGTCTTGTGGGAATAGTTATGCCAGGAGCTTGGGCTCAGGAACCATTGCTTCTAGACATGAGTCCTCGGTCTTTCACTCACGGCTGTCAGCGCTTTGTGAGGGTGACACCTGCCTCAGGAGGTGACAGGAATTACACGACCTCATACCTGTGCAGCACAGAAACCATGCCCAGACACGTTATGTGGTCCTCTTGGCTGCCGCAGCCCCTGAAACATCACTACTGGCTTCCTTTTCCCTCTGCTGAACCAGATCAAACTGCATGATGGTGCTTATTGGTCATCCCAGCTCTCTGGGAGGCTGAGGCAGGAGGGTCCCATGTTGGAGCCCACCCTGGGTGACTTTGTGACTTAGTGTGCCATTCTCCCCAGGTACCCTGGGCAGTGACTTGTGAGCTGCCGTGTCTGGGAGACCTGTAGCCAGGTGGGGCTCTGTGGCTCCTGGGCCCATGCAGCCGGGGCTCATGCTGCTGTCCGGCCCCCAGGTTCCCCCGCCTGCACAGCGCGGTCATCAGGACACTGGTCCTGGTCCAGCACTATGCAGCCGCCCTGATGGCCGTGCGTGGCCTGCCACAGATGAAGAACCACACGTCGGTGGAGACCCTGGAGATCACGCAGAACCTGCTCAATGCCCCCAAGCAGTGTCCGTGCGGCCATGGGCTCATGGTGCTGCTGCGCGTTCCCTGCTCGCCCCTGGCCGCCGTGGCTTACGAGCGGCTGGCGCATGTGCGGGCACGGCTGGCCCTGGAAGAGGCCTTCGAGATCATCCTGGGTGACCCCAGCGCCAGCATCACTGTGGGCAAGCACTTCGTGAAGCAGCTCAAGGTGGCGTGGGGTGCCAGGCGCTTCAGGGGGCGGCAAGGGGCTGCAGGGGGCGGCAAGGGGCTGCAGGCCACCAGCCAGGTGCAGGGATGGGGGTGGGGTATGCCTGTAAGCTGGTACTCTGGAGGCTGAGGCAGGAGGATTGAAAGTTTGAGCCCAGGAGCCAGATGTGGTACCGCATGCCTGTCACCCTTGCTCGGGAAGCTGAGGCTCAGGGCTGCCTGTCCCCTCCTCTCTGTAGCTGTGGCAGAAGATCGAGGATGCAGAATGGAGACCGCAGACATACCTGGAACTGGAGGGCCTGCCCTGTATCCTCATCTTTAGTGGGACCGACCCTCACGGCGAGTCCCTGCCCAGGTGCGTGGGGGGCTGCTGGGCTGTGCTGGCCACCTCATGGGAGTTGGGGTGTTGTGACTGGCTCCCAGCAGGGGCAGCACTGAGATGTGGGCTATGGACAGCGGTTTCCAGGATCCCAAGGCCCCAGTCAGGCTCCTTGGGGCCTGTAGCTGGAGTTAGGGTTCAGGGGAGCCCTTGTGTTAGGGGCATCCCCATGAGATCCTTGCGGCATCAGCAGGGGTTGAGCTGCAGCCTCACCATGGCCTTGGTCACACAACAACTGTCGCTGGGTCACATGAGAGGACAGGAGGTCTCAAGCCCCCAGGCACATCCCAGCTCCCAGACAGGCCCTGGTCCACACCCCCTGTGGATAGAATGATTAGATGTCATTCCTCACAACAGTGCTCTTAGATCCCACCTGCAGATATAAAAATATTAATGCTTCATATTTGGAAGGCTGAGGCAGGAGGATTGCTGAGAGTTTGAAGCCAGCCTGTGCTATGTGATGAGGCCCTTTATCAAACAACCAAAAAAAAGTCAGTGCTTCAGAGCACAGAGTCCCAGTTGCCGTCCCATGAAAAAAGAGCTGAGCTCAAGGCCCACTTGGTTTGAGGCAAAGTCAGGCCATTTTGATCACTAAATGTGTGATGGAGTGTGTGCTGCAGCTGGCATCCTGGGGTTCTGGGGAGCTGCTGTGCTGCTGGGGCGCAGGCAGCACTTTTCTCAAGGACGCTGGGGCTGGTGCCCCTCTGCACCCCCCAGGTCTCTGCGGTACTGTGACCTGCGCCTCATCAATGCCTCTTGCCTGGCGCGCTCGGCCCTGGAGCAGGAGCTGGGCCTGGCTGCCTACTTCGTGAGCGGTGAGGCCCCTGCAGAGCAGGCAGCCAGGAGTGAGGCCCCTGACAGCGACGGGGAGAAGCCCAGCAGCTCGGACAATGAGGATGAGGAGGCGGGAGCTGAAGGTGAGCCCCGCTCCCGCGGCATCCTGGGCTTTGGGGTTACCTGAGCATGTGTCTTTGGTTGACCATGTAGTAAATGCTCCCAGTCCCTGCTGCCCGAGGTGTGGCTGTGCCACCTGTGAGCGCAGCTGAGCTAAGATGGTCCTGTGCATGGGATTACTAAGGAGTGGCAGATAAATGGAGTAAGGGCCCAGGCCTGGGATTCCAGCAGTGAGGAGGCTGAGGAAGGAGGATCCTCCAAATTTGAGGCCAGCCTGGGTCAAATGGTGAGTTTAAGGTCAGGCTCGGCTATGGAGCAAGACTCTGTCTGCAAACACAAGGAGGAATGAGTGAAGCAGCAGCGTGAGATGTGACTTCATGCTGTGTGACGTGCTAGGCTGGCCAGGAATGTGAGTGACACTGCGCTTCGTATTTCCAGCGTGCTTTGAAATAGCCTCCCCGGCAGAGAGGCGCAGCCCCGTGAGGAGGGAGCGGTCCTGTTCCCACGATTCTGCGTCCTCCTCCCTGTCCTCCCGTGTGTCTGGTGAGGACCTGTGTGGACTAGGAGCTGGGGTGGGTGTGGCAGGCTGCATGTCCTGTGCCCCATTGTCCCTGGGATGTTCCTGACCCATCTCCTCTCCCTAGGCTCTGTGCTGTGCAGTGAGACCTCAGCTCAGCCCCCTGGGCCCGCACAGGGGGAGCTGGCCAGGTCCTCCCCACCCTATAGCTCTGCGGAGGAGGCCAGGGCCCCTGTGGAGAAGCCAAGGCCTGAAGGCATTCCCCGCGCTGGCCAGTGGAGCCTGCAGGCATCGGCCGCCTCATGGGCACAGCCAGCCTCCTCCTCCCCCCCAGGAGGAGGGTCCTCTGGGGGTGCCCTGGCCCTGCAGGCCTCGCAGTGCTCCCTGGCCAAGGCCTGCCGTCAGCCACCCATTGTCTTTCTGCCCAAGTTGGTATATGACATGGTCACAGCCACTGACAGCAGTGGCCTGCCCAAGGCTGCCTCCCTGTTGCCTGCACCCTCTGTCATGTGGACGAGCTCCTTCCGGCCTTTGCTCAACAAGACCATGACCTCCACCGAGCAGTCGCTCTACTACCGCCAGTGGACAGTGCCCCGGCCCAGCCACATGGACTATGGCAATCGTGCCGAGGGCCGTGTAGATGGCTTCCACCCCCGCCGGCTGCTGCTCAGCGGACCTCCACAGGTGGGCACTGTGCCCATGGCCCAAGAGCTGGGTAGCCCTGAGGTCACAGCAGAAGGTAGGGCCAAGAGTGACAATGTGGTGCCGGTCCCACCCCCGGGACATGCTGAGACGCCAGTTGAGACTGGGCATGGTGGCACGGGCCTGTAATCCGAGCACTTGGGAGGCTGTAAACAAGCAGATCACTACGAGTCTGATCTAGTGGAACACCCTGAACACCCTGTAGACCCTTCCCTAAAATACAAAAAAAAAAGTGTGACAATATGCAGTTTTCCTGGTTTCCTGTTGCTGGGACACTCAGCCTAAAGGAGAGGGGTCTTTGGCTCATGGTTTCATTGGGCTTAGTCTGGGCCCAGCATCCATGGCAGAAGGGCCTCGTGGAGGAGAGCTGCTCACCTGATGGCAGCCAGGAAAGAACAGGGAGGAGCTGAGGACAAGGATGCGCCCTTCCAGCCAGGCCCCGCCTGCTCCAGCACGTTCAGCTGTGACGTCATCTGTGACGGATCCACAGATGAGCACAGAGCCTTGTGATCCGTCACCTTCTAAAGCCCAGCTCTGAACACAGGTTTTGGGGGACCTGTAGAGCTGCACCGTGACACCACAGTTTTTGCCATTCCTGTGCTCCAATCTTCTGCTGTGACCCAGAGTGAGCAAGTAAACCAGGGTGGAGTCACCTCTTGCTCACAGCCAGGGGTCTTCTCTGTCATCACTCTTTCCTCCTCTGCCCGGTTGGAATGGAAGAAACTAGCCTGTGGGCACGGCTCACAATTTCCGATTAAGATTCTTCCTACACGATCACCTTCATCCCTGGCAGCAATCCTGTGCAGTCTCCACAAACTCTGACCATTAGGAATGACACTTTCAGCTAGGGGCTGTGATCTTCCTGCCTCAGCCTCCGAGTGCTGGAACAACAGACATGCGCCACTACACCAGGCTCCTGTTTTCTTTCTATTTTAAAAATATGCTTGGTACAGGGTCTCACCATGCAGCTCAGACCCCTAGTGAGCCTCTTTTTCAGCCTCCCTAGTGTTGGGACACTTCCAGTGTCAGTGGCCAGCTCAGTGTGCCCAGGGGAGGGACCCAGCTCAGCATGTGGTGCCGGGGATGGAATCTCAGTCCCTGTGTTGCCTAAGCAGGTGCTTAGTCTGCTGAGCTATCTTGCCAGCCCTCTGTTTTCTTTTCTTTTCTTTTTTTTTTTGCGGAACCGGGGATTGAACTCAGGCCCTTGTGCTTGCCAGGGAAGCACTTATTCCACTGAGCCATCTCCCTGGCCCCTC